CGGAAATGATGTTAAATGAAATATCCATCTGTGGCATTTTAAATACATTGAACAAAACCTTAATGGACAACAAATTGTTGAACGACTTTTTGTTGCACATTCAATACATTGCAGAAAATGATATATTCAAGTCGTTCGAAGTTGTTCCAAATCAGAAGGGAGAATTGAATAATATCTACAGATTAAATAAAGATGTTGATATTGACGATTTCTTCAAAGAAAATGAAGTCGTTATCAACAACAATGGAGATTTAAAATCGACTCTTCTTCATAAAAGTTTTAATTTGAAACTCAAAGAAATGAAACAAGAAACAGTGACTCAAGAGTTTTTAGATAAAGTCAGAAGAGACCGAAATCTTGATATGTGTAAGGAAATATTGAAATTCCGACCATCTAAAAAACTCGTGAATAACATTCCTTCCGAGTTAGAAGAACAAATGAAACTGTTTGGAGACATCATGCAAATAAATAACACAACTGAAATTGGAGTTAATTCCATTGAACTTTGGCAGGTAGCTTTCAATGTTTTTATTGAAGATTTATACATCCAAAGTAATAGAAATGCGACTTTTGGAAATGTTCTCAATACTTTAGGTATTTACAACAATGAAAATAGAATCCAACTTTATGAAAAAATTGTGTATCAATTTTGGAAGATCCATGAAAATGATATTCGCTTACCTAATGTGAATGACCAAATGGTTAAATTGATTGTCTTTATTCAAACGACATTCCTTCTGTATTTGTTGAAATTGAAAAGTCTCTTTTCACTTGCCGATTTAATCAATACATCTCAAGAAGAAATACATTAAATTATTATGAAGAAATAATAAACAAAGTGGTTAGAAAGAATATTACTATTAAAGACTTAAATCTGTCAAGTGGAAAAACAATGATTTGTAAGCAGATTGATAGCATGGTTCACACATTTTATACAAACAATAAGAATGAAGCTCCTTTCGAAAGAACATTAAAAGAAAACGTTCAAAAATTAGTTGAAACTGATGAAATAGACGACTTGGATTTGTTTCCTTATTACAACTCAATCCGAGAGGAAATTGAATTCAATTTACTCTTTACTTTAGAAAAGAGAAAACAACTCTTCCAACTTTCCAAATTAATGGACAACGAAATTGATGTAGAGGGAATTAAAAAAGCGATTGGTCAAGTTAATGAATTAAAGCAGAAAAACAAAGAATTTGAAAAATCGCTTCAAGACGAAAAAGAACAGAAAAATCAAATTCTTAAAGAAAACGAGACTTTAAAAACAGCGTTGACTACAACGAAAAATGAAAACACAGAATTGAAAACTCTTTTGCAAGAAATGCCCGTGGGTGAACCAGAAAATTTGCAACAAATATCTCTCGATGGCGAAATTTCATAATGATTTTGATTTTTTGTGTTATTTTATAATGAATTAAATTTTTAGAGTTGAATTACGTGTTAATTTAACACTCAATTTAAAATAAAAAGAACTAAAAACTATTGTTATGTTAAATAAAAAACAACAAGAATAATATTTTAATATGATAATACACATGAATTATTATATTCTCCAATTTATTAACAACCTCTTTTATTTTAATTTGATTGTATGTACATTGTTTCCAACTGAAGTACAAAATGTTGCTCGACATGCCATCCTTCTTAAGTTGTATTTGTTTTTAAATAAAATCTGTTATTTCTATGGACGTGCAAAGTAATTATTACCACATTTAAAGCACTACTTGAAGCATTCATACTCTATGAATAAAAATGAATTCATATTAGCAGCTTTTTTATCCATCTTTAGATCTTTTCGTGTGATATAACTTTATATTCCAAAATATTTGATAAATATCATATTAGTCGTCAACGTGTTAACGTTTAATATAGATTAAAAGTCAGTCAATTTCTACCTCACATTGTCAGAAAAGTTTGACAAAAATATCACAATGTTGTTTGGCTTTACATCTCTATATAAAAAAAATATTTGTACATAAATATATAATTTTTTAAAAACCATCTAACATGATTTTTTTACGCATTTTAATTATAAGTTTGTTTATTTATTATATTTCAAATATCTTAAAACCCAAAACTCTGTAAATTTGGTGACCAAACTCACTTTATTTGGTACGAAAACCCATTAAAAACAATATATTCACTTCGAAACTTTTACAACATTTCAACTTTATTTACAAATAAAATATAATCAATTTTTAGTTGTTTTTAATGTTATTCATCCGTTTAATGACAACTTTTTTCTCTTTATAAGTTTCTTTGCAAACAACACCAAACTCGCCTTCACCAATAATTTTCTCATTAATCAACAATTTAGAGGGAAACAAGTTGACATTTCAGAGATTGCTTCATTGGTAATTTTTTTTGATGAACTCTTTTCCACTTTCCAAAGATTTCGATATTATCAAAACGTCATAAATAAATTCAGTAAAAAAACAACAAAAAAAAGAATGCTGAGGTTTATGGTTTTATCACTTGACATATTGTTTTTATTTTTACACTAATAATTGTTGAAATAAAACGAATTAAAACAATAGTTATTTTTACTTATTTATAAATTAAATAAAATAAGTATTAATTGAACTGATAAATTACAACTAAATACTAAAAATGAAACCATTTGACGATATTCATATGATGATTGTTTCTCAGTATTTTACAGCAATAAGCGATTTCATTACACTTGAATTTGTGAATAAAAAGTACAACGGAAACATGGAGCGATTTCATTTCAATCCAATTCCACTCAACATGAACATGATAAAATATTTTCAAAATATTAAAACACTTAATTTATGGTATGAAAAGGACGAAAATTTCGGTAACTTTATTATAAATGACAAAAAAGAAATTAATGAATATAAGAAAATCGACTTTTATCAAATAAATGTTTGGTTTGAAGTTACTTATGATGTCACACAACTCAATAAAAACTCAAATTTTATATTTAAAAAAGTTACTTATTCTTATAATGATAGAGAAAAATATGGCGATGTAATACCAACCAGCATTAAGAAACTTGGTTGTAGTTGTTTTGTTAAAAGCTTAAACAATTCCATTCAAATTCCAAATACAGTCACTTCAATTGGCAATAACTGTTTTTCCGAATGTGGCAATTTAACAACAATAACACTTCCTCTTTATTTAAAAGAAATTGGAGAGTGTTGTTTTGAATTTTGCAACACACTTAAAACCATAACACTGACACAACACGTATATTCATTTGGCGAAAACTGTTTTCAATTTTGTACCCGTCTTTCTTTTATTTGTCTTCCCAACACTCTAAATATATTGCCGAATGCTTGTTTTTATAATTGTCACAATTTAGAAAGTGTAACATTTCCATCACAAATTAAGTCGATTGGTGATAACTGCTTTGCAGGGTGTCTGTCGTTGTCTTCTGTGACAATTCCCAATTGCGAGGAATATATCGGACACTCCGCCTTTGCGAGTTGTAAAGAATTGAATTATGTTATTATCAATGGAAACGTTAAAGTAATTGGAAATGAGTGCTTTAAAGATTGTCAATTACTTACATCAATTTCACTTCCAAGTGACGTCAAAGAAATTGGAAGAAGTTCTTTCCAAGCATGTCGTTCACTTAAAACTATAAAATTTCCACAACTGATTAAAAGTGTTCAGAGTCATTGCTTTGATGGGTGTTACCGATTAAGTTTTATTGAATTGCCACTTGAGTTGTCGTCTATTGCCGAATGTTGTTTCCGTAATTGTTTTGATTTGGAATCTTTGATATTACCAACAAAAGTTATGGAAATCGGGGAAGCGGCATTTTGTAATTGTGGTTCTCTTCAAACTATAATTATTCCATACAAAGTGATAGAAATACCACTGAGGTGTTTCTACGAGTGCAATTCATTGGAAATTTGTATTCCAAATAGTATTACTTTATTTGGAGAAAAATGTTTTGAAGGATGTAAAAGCGTAATTCGTTATTGATGATTAATTATTACATTTACATTTTAAATAACACTGAACAAAATTAAAGTTGTTTAAAAATCGTAAGATTCAGAGTTTTATTTTTGATTTTCATTAGTTATATAAAAGTTTATTATATTTATAACATCATTCAAACAAAGAATTAAAAACAATTAAAATGTCTAGAAAAAATAAGTAAAGCAACTTCTCAAGATGTTTGCAAGTTAGCGGGAGGCTCCAAAATTTGGTATTTTCCATGAAATGAATGTTTTTCGAAAATATTGACCATTTGTTTTTTTGCTTTATTTTATAGTAAAACATTGAAAAACAAATATTTTTTACCACAAATATTTAATTATAAATTAAAATATAACACGTATTGAATTCATATTTATAATAATTAAATGAAAATGTATATAAACAGTAAAATTAAACAGAACTTGAAATGTATAACAGAATGTCAATAAACACGTTTTTTATGTTATATGGACTTAATGGAGTTTATACTTATATGCTTTGTAATGAAGTTATGAAAAAAAGTAAAGCCTATATTCACTTTAACAAGTCGCATTTAAATTTGATAAACAATGATAAAATACTCAAAGCTAAAGTGAACTTATTTTGTGTTGAGAAAAAAAATTAGCATAAATACCAACGAAAACAAAGAAATAACACCAGAAATAGCTTATAATATTTCAGAAATAAATCATTGAAACTTTATGTGAAAATAATGATAAATTGACTTGTGCACATGCTATACAAACAACAATCACAATAATCGAAAGTGAAATAAAAATATACCGACCAGAGATACTCACTCGCGTTTAACTTAGAGAAAGTGTATTAA